AATCTATAAGATTTATTTCTTTTTATTGAGTTAAGAGCAGAAGGTTTATTTACACCATAGGCCAAAACCAACAGTTACAAAATTCATAATTGCACACTCGCGGGTGTTTGTGAATGTACATAGCTTGATATACAATAATTTAACAGAGAAATGAGGGATGGTTACCCAAGTGTAAATAATTATAACATGTCCATTGTACTTTACATTTTAAAGATATGATAAACACATTTAGCAATACTAATCTGTAGCTGTACATTAGTAGTTTGTAACATGTTCACAAACTCTATCACACTAACTTTGGTAGATAACGAATCCTTATACTTAAATATTTTGGACAAATGAGTAATTAAATCCATGGTAAACCCATAAATAACCAAAGCCAAATTTATAGAGTGTATCTCTTAATAATGTTACCCAATTTTCACCATGAGGATTAAATTCAGATAATGATAAGAGTGAATTGTAAATCATCGACATCGATTATTATTGAATATACGATACAGTGATCCTAACGCCTTTAGACCTTGATCAGCTAGTGTCTTTTGTGCACGAGACAATCTTCCAGATGATGACAACACTAATCCTAAATATTTAAAGGTCTCCACTACTTCTGTCTCCTCGCCATTATAAAACCATTTTTCATTCTTAGCAATTCTACCACCTTTACCAAATACCACTACTTTAGTTTTTTCAGTAGTATAAACCAATCCCCACTGATTACAGTATTCAGATAACGTATCCAGTTCACCCTGCAAACCTTTAATATTCTTGCTAAATATAACCATGTCGTCTGCAAAAATGAGTAACAAGAAGCGAACGTAAAAAAGACCCACCAAGATCCTGGGCTGGTGACAAAGCATCTACAGCATCATTAACGAAAAGTGAAATTAGAATCCGCTATAACTTTTCGCCTTGACTAACTCCCCAAAAAGAAGCAAAGAATTCTGAATAAGCATCATCTGATTGTCTCAGACACGATTTAACATCACTGTACATTTTCCAAAGTAGTGTCAAAAATTTAGAACTAATCCCCGAATGACATAACTTATACCACAATGCATTCCTATTTACATAATCGAACGCTTTACGGTAATCAACAAAAGCAAAATATAGTTTTAAACCCTTTTCAAGAGTTATATTTATAAGTCCATTTAGAACAAAGAGACAATCAACAGTGCTATAACACTCTCTAAATCCAGCTTGTTCCTCTACGAGTATACTGTACTTATCACACCAACTTGAAACTCTTAAGACTCAAGATACTTGTAAATAACTTACTGTAGCAAGATAACAATGTAACACCTCTATAATTATCTGGCAAATACTTGCTGCCCTTCTTATGGATGGGTACAATAACTACCTAAGTCCACTCATGGGGACAATAAGCATTGATCAGTATGACATTAAATAATGCAGTTAATGTAGGAACCAGAACATCAGCTCCATAGATAAAAAAATTCATTCACAATGCCATCATATCCATGACTTTTTTCTAATTTGAATTTTCTCATTGCTCTACGAACCTCCTCGTGAGTAATACTAACATCCAGTTGTTCCACACATCCTGTAATGTCAGTATCCTGATATGTTGACTCAACATCAAAATCTTTCAGGATTCAATAATAGACCGATCCAGTCCCGGCCGATAAGCCCCGCCCACTTCGTTTTTGACGTTAGGGGGAACAACCACGGACTAATCACAATGGCGTCACCGCCGGCGAAACGTGCGTGACTGCGAACGTTGTTGATGATTTCTGCTTGTGGTACTTTGGTATCCGTCGTTTGTGAATGATTTTTAATATATTTTAATTGGCAGATTGCAATTGGCGAGTGAAAATGAGTAACATGCCCGATGAAAAATCGCCTCGGCCAGCTGCTGAGAGTAGGAAGCGTATTTTCTTTCAATTCAATTAATCTATCTGGCTATTCACCTCCGTCAAAGATATTAGCAGGGGATGGGTAAATGAATTTTGTTGTTTGGTGGTTGTTGTTTTTTAAGTCCCCATCATAATATTATAAAAACCGTTAACACAACCACATGTAAATGATGTTCATGTTGCAGATCGTTTTGGTATCTATAAATAGATTGTCAACGCTGCGCGTGGCGCCTTTATTTATTTTTCCGTTCTTCAAATTTAGTAAAATCAATAATCTGAAAACATGGGTTTCTATCTTTTAATGAACTAAAAGAATGGCAAATAAATACAAAACAGAAAATATTTCCCGTCTACTACTTCGTGCACCTTATTTGTCTGTATACATTTATGTATATCTCATCGCAAGTCACTCAACTTAAATCAGCGTCCAACAACATTCTATGGATAACGTATAACGGAGGACAAACGCCTTTATTCATCTGTACTATGTACTTTTCCCCTGAGGGGTCTAGTGTGCACTCCGGGGAGGAATTATTTGATATCTTAGAGAATGATATCTTATGCTTAAAATCAGACTTTCCAAGCTGTGAGATAGTTATTCATGGTGACTTAAATGCTCGTACTGGTGATGGTACACTACCTGATTTTGTTGAAAACGATGATATCACCTATTTGCCAATCGATAATGACATGAGCTATAATCAAGACGATAGCCTGCCACGCAGATCACAAGACAGTGTTGTCAACAAGCTTGGACTTTCTTTGTTAAACTTTTGTCAATCAACAGAACTCCGGATTTGTAATGGTCGAATGTGTTCAGACAGTAGTATTGGTAAAATAACCTGTTTTGCCAATGACGGTCACAGTGTTGTCGATTATGTTTTGTGCAATTTAAATCTTTTCCAACTATTCGCAAAATTTGATGTTTCAGATGAAATAGAGTGTACCCATTTACCTATAATCTATTCCTTAGCTCTCAACACTGTATTTGATTGTCATCGTGAAAATCTCACTGACCGTCTAAAGTATGTTTGGTCGGATCACTTCCTTGGTGAATATGTAAACGCATGGCATAATCTTGAGGACTCAACTAAGAACGATTTTAACAACCACATTAGCAGCAATGATGTTGACAGTGCATTAAACTGCTTTCAGAATACGCTTGAAAAATGCTCTGGGAAACCCAGAAAATCGTGTGACAGAGCTAGAACAGTGCATAAGCGCAGTGATTGGTTCGACGATGACTGTTTACACGCGAGATTGACAGCTCGTCAATATCTGCGTGCATTTCATGCAAGCAATGAAGAATGCGACCGACTGACCTACATCTCGGCACGGAAACATTATAAGGAACTCTGCCTGCGTAAATCGGCTGTCTCGACTGATGTGTTTGTGAACAAGTTGGAACAATCGCTACAGAGTAATAACAGTAAACTTTTCTGGTCCTTATTGAGACCGAAGATGCAATCACAGTCTAGAACTATTACATCACTTGCGTGGACTGCACACTTCGAAGAACAGTTTAATGGTACAAACTATGATCCAAATGAACTTGATTTCTATATTTCTGTAAATGATTTTGTCACGGGTATAACTGACAACCTCATTGATGCAACTACTGATGTCGATAATGGCCTTGATCATGACATCTCTGTATCCGAAATTCAGGACGCAATCTCAAGTATGCATTGTGGGAAAGCCCCTGGATACAGTGGCGTCCCAATAGAATTTTTCAAGTATGCTCCTAGGCAATGCTTGGATATGTTGAGAGTACTTTATAACATGATTTTGTCAACTGGTGTTTACCCTTCTCAGTGGACACCTGGTGTCATTATTCCTATCCACAAAAAAGGGCCGAGTAATAATCCAGCAAACTTTAGGCCAATCACTCTACTTGAGGTTTCTGGTTAAAAAAAATCTAAAATCTTATGTAACAGACTCTCGAAATGGACTGATAATCAGAATATCATTATTCCTGAACAAGCAGGTTTTAGGAAAGGCTTTCAAACGGTTGATAATGTTTTTGTAATTGACACCTTCATTAATAAGTACTTATCACTTTACAGAGGTAGACTTTACTGCGCTTTCATAGATCTGAAAGCGGCTTTCGATTTAGTGGCAACTAAAGGTAAATTCATCCAAGAGTAAAATTATTGTGTTTCGTAAGGCGGGTAGGCTTAAAAAGTACGAAAAGTTTTCTCTTATTGGCAGCCCGCTTGATATTGTTCCCAGTTATAAATACCTTGGAGTACATCTTTCTAGCTCTGGTTCATGGTATAAATCTCAAAAGATATTGTCTCAACGGGCTTGGAAAGTAATACTTTTGTTACAATCAAATGTGTACAATTTTCATAAACTTCCTTTGAAAATGTTACTTCATATCTTTGATGTTAAAGTGCTGCCCATACTATTATATGGTTCAGAAATATGCGGATTCCATTCCTCTAAAGATATTTTGAATGTTCATGATAAATTCTGTAAACTCATATTAAAGTTAAGAAGATCTGTCCCTAATATAGTTGCGAGAGCTGAACTGGGGAGGTACTCATTAAAAGTAAATCAACTTTTGAAAATAATTAAGTACTGGTTACGTTTTAATATAATCCCAGAGTGAAAACAGTATATTACATTATAGTTATGTATATCAGTATAACCGAGCTGAAAAGGGTCTGGATTGTTGGGCACTTAAAGTTAAAAACCTTTTATGTTCATATGGATTTGGTGAAATTTGGAACCGGCAATCTGTTTCCTGCATTCAATTATTTCTATCAACTTTTAGAAAACGGTGTATTGATATTGATAATCAGTTTCTCTTTGAATCGTTTGACAAATTATCTTCCTTGTATATTTACAAAACAATCACGTCATCCAATGAATATGAAAACTATTTAAATGCTGTGAATATTGATGCATTTAGGATTACTCTTTCACAATTTCGTACATCCAGTAGTGATCTTATGATATCACAGGGTAGACAATTAGGCATATCTAAACGTGAAAGACTTTGTCCATTCTGTATCATCCCAAATGTAGAAACAGAATACCGTCTGTCTAGTGTGTCCATTCTATAATGACCTTAGAAGAAATTTATTTCCATGTTATTACTACAAATTCCCTTCAGAGTGTAAATGTAAACTTTTACTTACCACCAAAAATACTTCCATGTTTAATAACCTTGCCAAGTTTACTTTCTTTGCTCTGAAAATGAGGAGCAAGCAATTGTCCATTACATAACCTACATATTCTATAGTCATATTGTACTAGATATAACTTGCAGAACTTAAACATTACTACTTAATCAACATCAACATCTTTGTCAAACTATAATTGTAAAATGGGCCTGTGGCCTGATTTACCGAAATATACTACTACTACTATTAATGTAAACAAATCAACCACAGCATAACATATTTGATCTTATTTGGAAATCTGGAAAATGTGATTGGGCTTGTAAACAGTAAGTTTCCATGGATGTACCTGGACCAAATATTCAGCAGCTGATCTGCAGCAATTCTCAGTAAAGTTTCCCTGGCCAAAATAATAGTCTGGTAAATCACCCCTCTATCTTTAGAAGAATAATGTCTAATTTTTCTCCAAAATGTTTTGTAATTTGTCAAACTTAAATTATGCAACTGTTTTGCCTCATTAATGTCCTTTAGTTTACTCATTCTCTTACAACATTTCCTGTATGGTGTTCTATAATCCACCATAGTTCGTCAGTCACAATCATCACGAGAAGATCGAGACTCAGCATGTTTGAAAGCTGACCTCAATTTCAAACATTCTTCAGCAAACCATCCCTTTCCACTCACTGCACGTGCAGGCTGCTTCACTGCATGCTTCCGACCTGCACGCTGTAACAATTCTATTATTGACGTGACACAGTTGTCGATATCACAATTGTTGATGTTTACGTCTGAGAGTGATTTGTCAATGCCATCAAGTATTTCTCGTGAGTGATCACCTAATAGCATTTGACGGAAACTAACAGCTTTTGCCTCTTTCCACTTGAACTTATTTCTAGGTTGGCTAACATCATCTTTTTGCTGAGCTTGACTGTTAATCTTAAATTAATTGTTCAAAATAGAGTGATCAGAAAATTCTAATATGTCACATATATAATATGACATATCAAGAGGTACCAGAATGTAACCTATGGTACTTTGTCCGTGTCTACCTACAAACGTATAATTACTTTTATCCCTATCGCTGCCTATACGACTATTCACTATACGAAATTGAAACGTTTAGAAAAATCTAATAATCTGATACCTGTCATTCATAAGGAAAATCCCAAATTTTCTAAATATATTTGTTCAGTGGTTGGATCATCAGTTATATAATCCTCGGGGAGCAGGAGGTGATCACACTCACGTGTTCTATATAGTCTGGCTTCTGTCCTGTACGTGAGTTAAAAGCCACCCAGCCCAGCAACGTCCCCATAATGTTTATATTCAGCAGTGCAAATAAATAAAGTATCGTATGTGTCCACACCACTGTTTATCTCCTTCCTGGATGAATTATTAGGAACACTGTAATTATATTTCCTACGTTTGAAGGATGAATTAGTAGGAAATTGTTTTCTCCTAGCGGTGTGTAACGAGAGTTACTTGCCCCGTGGGGTGGCGCTGTTAAGGATATATAAGGGTTACTCAATTTGAATTTGTCATTCTCGCTCAGAGTACACCACGGCCGCTTTATGATGGACGCTAATGCTAAACTTGACGCCATCTTGAAACAACAAGAAGAGCTACAGTCCTCAATTGATAGTTAGATTGGCGCATTAAGAGATGAACTCGTACAAACTACACTTGATCTTAAGAAGCTGAAAGCTGAAAAAGACTATGCCTGGTCTCGTGAGGGCAATAAAATTCAGTATAACTTCAACGAAGAATCCATTACATCTCTTAAAAAGGTGCCCACTGCGTTGAGTTCTTCACGTTTGGAAGACGCTGAGACGTTACTGTCTGAAGAGCTCGACAGGTTGACGAGAAGAAATAAACTTATTAAGATAGCGGATTCTTCAGACGGGGGGTGGGAAACCGTCCGGCAGTACGTCAGCAATGAGTTGGCCGACGATTCTGACGATGATAAGAAGATCATGCACGCAGACAATAAAGCCGTCAAGAAACTCAGACAAAAGCGTGCTAGGCAAGCACCTTACTCGACGGAGATCATCTACGTTTCTCCAGCCCGTGCAGCCTGCTTCTAGTGCTCATTCTGCTTCTTCTGTGCATCCTGTCCAGTCCACGTCCTCATATCTTTTTCGTGGCAGAAGCCAGAGAAGCGGAGCATGTTTTGCGTGTGGAGAATTTACACACTTTAGAAGAGACTGTCCATACACCGCCAGCGGAGCTGGAGCCACGTCGGCAGGTGGTGTTGGGAGTTCAAGGACTTGGCAGTTAAGTATTTATGTCATTCTGTTGATTCTAACTTAACGGACGATTACTTTGAATATGAGCAAGGTACTTCTGAAATCAGAGTTAAGGATCGTCTCAAAACCAACATTCAGTTTTGGAGAGATATTGGTGCATCTGAATTTGTTCTTGACATTAAATCAAATGGTTATAACATTCCATCCTCTCTGAGGAGATGGCGGACGTGACGAGTCACGACACTGAGAGCTCTCAGATATTGTGTGAAAATGATCAAACTGTAGCTGATATATACAACAAAACATATGCAACGTTGAACAATATGGATATAGAAATATACAACGGGAGAAATTTTGAAGAAGAAAGAGAGAGTATTGGAGATTTTTCAATGTTATTGATGGATATGGACATCATGGCTACACAGGGGACAAACAGAGAGGAAAACGTAAGTGAAGAAGTTGACTTTATTAAACGTTTTCTAGAAATTGAATCCCAAGATTGTCCAAAAGAAACCTTTGTGCAGAAAACTCTTGACATTTTACGCGGCGATATCGTAGAGCTTGAAACTACACGATACAAGCTGTTGAGAAAAGCTAAAGACTCGAAAAACTTTCCATATCCCAGTGGTATTTTGAAGAAAAGACTTGGTAGGAGGAAGAAGTCTGGTGAGTCAATTGAAAGGAAATTGGCTAAAGATTGTTATTATTTATTTCGTGCATGTTTTGGTGATTATGTTGATGAACTTGGTGACGTCATTTGTATTACAAAGAAGTTAAAATCCAACAACTCAGAAGTCGACAGTGACGTAATTTCAGCACAAGTCGCCTGCCTAAAGCAAGTTATCGTCCGCCTGGAAAGAGAGCTATTGTCTCTCAAATCAGAGCACGCTTCTGATGTGGATGTGTTGACCAAACTAATCACAGAAGACAAAGGCTTGATTGGGACTCTGCAAGTAAATGTTGAAGCTCAGCAAAAGCAACTAAGGAGTGTTACACAACTTGTGAACACACAAGCGAATGAACTGTGTAATAAGGGTGAAGAAATCGTGCGCCTCAACACACTGCTGAATGAGAGGCTTACTGTTACTCGGAAACAGGATGCATGGACTAATTGTGCATGTACCGTGGACATGACGCCATCGGGCAATGACGATTCATCTCCAGAGCGTGCGGATAGCAGTAACAAGAGTATGTTGACAGCTGAGGTTCATGCAGCATGGGGTGAGGATGATGTAACATCTGACCTCCAGGATTACAACAACAAAGTAACGGATGAGAATAGTGGGAAGAGCGTTTATACTCGTTATATAGATAACAGTAGCAGTGAAAACCAATTCATCCATGATAAACAACATTCAAGAAGTGATCACGGAACAGAAGACATAGTTGATATGGTTTCTGAGAATGGGAATGATATTGAGGAGGACAGAGATAATAGTGAATCTTGTATCCTCAAACTTGATCAGATTGTTGTTTCTACTTCTCCCCTGGCAAGTGACATTCAGAAATGCAATTCACCAGTGGATGATGAAACTGAAAGGAACCAAGATGATGACCAAGGGGTAGAAGTAAGGACCTTTAGTGGTGCTAAGCGTGTGGATAAATACTATACATCTGGATTAAAGGTTATGTTTGACAGAAGTGACACTGATGGGTATACTAGATATGTTAAAGAGGAGAATACGACTGACGTGGATCATGAAGCGAACTTTAGGAGCGTTAAACCCAGACAACGAGTGGCTAGATTCTTTATAGGAAGGATAAACAAAACATCAACAGAGCAATCCATGTTGAACTATCTGGCTAGCAGAAATATTGAGGTGTCATCTCTACGGTTCTTCAACCATCCAGAAAGGGTGTCATGTGCTGCACAACTTAACGTACCTTACAAAGAAGGTAAATATGTTGCTGATTAGTCATTCTGGCCACCTGGAATTGTGGTACGAAAGTGGATTCCAAGAAGGTACATGTCAAGACAAAAGCAGTGAGCCATGGAGTGTTTAAATATTATGACTTGGAACTGTCGTGGGATACATTCAAGTATTCCGTATCTGTTGGACTGTCTGGTTAGGTATAACATTGAAACTGTGGCATCACAGAGCACCATCTTAAAGAAAGCAGTTTGTTTCTAATGACTAAACTATCAACAGATTACTTTGTATATGCAAAGTGTTATGGACACGGTGACTCTTTTCGTGTGTCGAATGTTCCTAGGGGCGGAGTTGCAATGATGATAGCTGGACATCTACAACAGTATACGCAGGAGATTGAACTGGACGTGGACTTTATTGTAGGTGCTGAGGTGCATCTTCCGAACAGTAATCCATTGTACATATTCTGTGTATACTTACCAGCGTCAACAAGACCTAATGAGGCATTTTTCTCATCTCTTGATATGTTGGATGAATTGCACGAAGCATATTCAGTATTCGGTGAGGTGATTATTGTCGGTGATATGAACGCTAGAATTGCGGGGCCTCGTTGCGTGTTCAAAACAGATGTGCGGTCACGTCGCATGCATCAGACTCTGATGAAGTCAGGTTTAACTGCAGTGAATGTTCTATCATCATGTTATGGTCCTAACTGGACTTTTCAGTCACATGAAAATGGTCCAACGACCATGATCGACCATATTCTTGTACCAAAAACACTACTCAGTGATGTTCAGTGGTGCTGTGTGCTGGATGATCGCAGTTACAACGTCTCTGATCACCATCCTGTTATTGCATCGGTTAGTTTACACTTATACGGAAGCATAGAT